GGGGCTCTCCTTTAGAAGCCCTGAAAACCTGGTGATACCAAAGGGCCCACAGACAAACAGGGTTTTGTGCCTGCGGAGTTGAGTACCAGCGGGTCTAAGCCCTGGAGGGCTGTGTCCCTGGGGCTCCCCAGGGGTGAGATGGAGGTGGGCTCAACTGGTGTACACGTCACTCCTCAATCCTTATTTTGTTTATTTAATTTTAAAAACTATTTAAACAAATAGAGATGGGGTCTCACTATGTTGACCAGGCTGGTCTTAAACTCCTGACTTCAAGCAGTCCTCCCATCTCGGCCTCCAAAGTGCTAGGATTACAGGGATGAGCCACTGCACCCGACCTCAATCCTTATTTTGGCCTGAAAGGAAAGGCCGTGGCCCCGTTTGCAGGGGAGAAGACTGAGGCTGGAGGGGCAGGCCTTGCTCTGGGTTGCACAGCAGCAAGAGAAGTGGGAGCTGGCCACGAGGCTTCCTGGACCTGATACGCTGCTGGGGTACACCCTGGTTCTCCAGGTCCCATGGGGCTCAGCCCAGGACTACTTCGGGAGGTGGGGGACTTAAACCCCCTCTTTCCTTCTCAAAGTCCCTTCTCCCATCATTTCCTGAGGAAGGACATTCAGGGACCTCCCTGGCTGTGCCTCAGGACTAGAATGACACCCATTCCTTTCCCTGGGCCTTTGCTCAGGCGGTCCCTGCACCCTGGCCTCTGCCTGACCAGGATGGTGGGGAGAGGAGGGGGGACGTCCCCTCCGCTGCTGTCTCCACTGTTCCTGCTGCCCTGACCTCTGGGCTTCCAGGACTGCAGTGGGTGGGTGGGTGGGCTGGCCTGAGCCCAGGAATGCACTTCGGCTCCTGGTTGAGCAATGTCACTGAGGCTTGGGAGTCGGGTAGGGGCGGGAGGAGGAGTCCACAGGCCCCCACTGTGAAAGGCAGCCGTGGGAACAGTCTGCCTGTAAACAACCACTCCAGCCCAGGCTGACCAGGGGCTCTGGCTGGACATAGGGGCCTGGCAGGCTGTGTGGCCTGTAAGGACACAGTCTGTCTCTGTGCCTCAGTTTCTCTGCTGCCCAGTTGGGCGTCCCAGACTCCAGGTGTAGACATCTGGAGCAGGCAGTGCTCAGCTGGGAAGGAAGTGGGGAGGACTGGAGGAGCCACGTGTCTGCACCCCTGCTGAGCCTGGTCAACAGAGCCCCTCAGTGGGTCCTCACTCCCCTGGCTGCCTCCCGGTTAGGCACCCTGAGGTCTGGGGAGAACAGGGCCAGGCCAGTGTCCCCAGAGAGGCTGCGCTGCCAGCACAGTAATAGCGGATTTGGATTCAGGGAAGCAGACCCGCAGCCAGGGTGGGGAAGAGCTGCAGGCTGGGCGTGGCACCTAGGCGGCACAGCCTCCCTCCCTGGAGGCCCACGCTGCATTTCCAGGACAGCAAGTCCCAGGGATGGATGGTCCCAGGTGCCAAGGGCTGGAGGCATGGTCTGTCTGCATTCCCCACATGGACGTCTTGTAGTCACTAGTGTTTGATGCTGTCAAGTGACCCTGTCCTCTGTGCAGACCGGGAAGCCCTTGGCTACCCTGGAGGGTTATGGGACCCAGGCCAGGCTGCAGAAGCATAGGGACTTGAACCCAAGTTTTAAGTGACACCACTTTGTGTCCCCCTCCCTCTGTCTCTGTTTAGCGCCACCTCGATGCTGCCTGTGCTGGGCCATGCAAAGAGGGTTAGGGGATAGAGATGGGAGCTGGGGAGTGGGGCTCCACTCTGGGAGGTGGCAGCCTTGCTGGATCCAGGGGAGATAGTTGAGCAGCCCCAGCTCTGCTTTCCCGGAGCTGCCGGGAACCCCGGGAATGGTGTGGAGATTCCTGGGAGCCCTGCCCCCACCTGCAACCGCAGTGCAGCAGGCGCCAAGTTCTCC